TGGCTCGATTTCGATCTGGTGAAATCCAGACGCTAAATCTAGTGTTGTGAAGTATTGGCATCTTCCTAGTAGGTCCAATAGTTCTGATATTTGTGGTAGAGGATAACGGTCTTGTACTGTGAGTTCGTTAAGTTTTCGATAATCAATAACAACTCGCCATTTTTGTTTTCCTGACGCATCTAATTTCTTCGGTACGACCCAGACTGGACTCGACCAGGGCGAGACGCTTTTCTGGATTATTCCTTCTTCTAACATTTTATTAATTTGCGTCTTTACCTCTTCCTTATGTATTTGAGGATATCTATAAGATTTAGTGAAGATAGGTTTAGCGTTGTTTGTTTCGATTTTGTGTTTGATTTCGTTTGTGAAGGTCAGTTTGTCGCCTTCGACATAAAATATATCTGCATATTCAGTACATATATCTAGAATTAGTTCTTGTTCTTCGCAATTTAGATGATCAATTCTTAGTTGTTCTTTAATTATTCGTGTTCTATCTAGTACGGGTTCTTCAAAATCATTTCCGTTGTAGGATAGGATTGTCTCGGAATTTTTGAAGGGTGCGATTGAAATGTCTGAAAATTCGATTGTCTTCGGCATTGCATTAGCATTTAGGACGGAAGTTAAGAATTCTCCATTTTCGTCTACATGGACTAATGCATGAGGTAATCTTACTTTTTCTATTTCTTGAGCTGATAATATGGCATCTGTATTTGATAAGTTGCATTTTAGTTTGCATATTTGTTCGGTCCGGCTGTCAATGGCAATTTTGTTTGTTCCTTTTATTCGTTTTCTCTCCGGTCTTTCAAGATTTTTGTCTTGATCTCGGTTTTTTATGATAGTGTATTTTTCATTTATAGGGTTTTTATATTTTAAATTTGATTCCTGTTTAGAATCTGATTTAATTTTTATTTTAGGTTCGTTTTGTCTTGTTTGTGAAGGGTGACAGTTTTAAAATTTGTATGCAACTGTCGGGATTTAAGATCTATTACGCATTCATAATGATCTAGAAAGTCTAGGCCTATTATGCCATCGAAATCAATGTCTAAATTGAAAATAAAGACTTTGTGAGGATTATTGTCAGTGAAGGGAATCAGGACAGATTCTGTTATTAACAATTTTTGATCGGTTATACCTTGAATAGTAACGTTTTCAGGAAATCTATTATGATAATTGCGTACTGTGTTTTCTTTGAAAACAGTGATTCCAGCACCTGTGTCGATTAAAAGTTTAAAAGTGTTGGTAGCATCGTTAATATAATATAAATTTTTGGAACTCATTGTATGAAATGGGGTTACATGAATGTCTGTTCGGGAAAATTGGGGTCCGGATGAAAGTCGTCCAAGTTGAGTGCTTGAATTTGTTCTTGGATATTCGTAATATCCGTTGAGTGGTTCGTATGATTGGGAGGATGATTTTGATTGGGAAGTGAAAGAAAATTTTGATAATCTTGTGTGTTATTGGTTTCGTAAAAGTTATCAGGTTGTGGATTATTTTCTGTATAATAATCTGTGTCATAGTTTTCATAGTTATCGGTATTATAATAATTATCTGTGTAGTAATCATCTGTATAACAGTTAGTCGTTATTTCGTCAGGGTATTCGTTTAAGACATGTGCCCGTTGGAAGTTTGGGTTTCTTTGAATAACAGATGGACGATTTTGATTTTGAGATGAAAAGGAAGGTCTCTGTTGGTTGAAATTTGGATTGTTGGAAGAATATTGATTCCTATTAGGGTTCTGATCGTTTTGATAGTTATTAGGTCCATTATTATATTGGTTTTGGTAACCGTGTGGCCTAGAAAAAGTTTGGTTTGGCTTTACGAAACGTGAAGAGCGGCATTCAGTATTTAGATGACCAATGCGGCCACAATTTGTACATTTGGTAAACTGAGATGAGGGTCTTCTCATTGGTTGAGAGGGTTTAGGAATAGTTGATCTAGAATTAGATTTTTGTTTTTCAAAATATGACAATTGAAGTTCGCGTCTAATACGATTGCTTGCTTCAATGAGATCTTTTGGATTACTAGCCCTAATAATTTGTCCTAGACGGGGTTCTAAACCGGTTATAAGTGTGTTTAGGGCCATGGTATCGATTAAGTCACATTGGGCGGTTTTTTGATCTGGGGATAAATTTGCTATTTGGATCGAGGCGTGCATTTTTGCATTCAGAACTTGTAAGCGGTTAAAGAAAGTTAGAGGAGATTCGTTAGATAGTTGTCTTAGTCTTTGTAAGTCTTGTATTAAGGAGGTCAGGTCTCTACTGTCTCCAAAATGTAGATTTAATAATTGTTTTATTTCTGTATAGGAAAGTGGTTTTCTAGAATTAATAAGCTGTGCAGCTTTACCTTTGAGTTTATTTTTTACGTGAATCGTTAATAGAACGCGCTGATCGCCTGTGGCCATTTTAAAGGCACAGTCGCACGTATCTAAAAATGTAGAAAGAGAAATCGGATCGCCTTCAAATTCTGGGATAATGGAAAATATTTCCGAAAGCTTGTATGGTTCGATTTCTTGTTGAGTTTGGGAACGTGTCTCGGGCATTTTTCGAGATATTTTGAAACGAAAATGAAAAATAGAAGTATGAAGAAGTATAAAATATATCAGTATATAAGGGAGAAAATAAAAATGTGGTGGTATATATAAAGGACAAAAATGTATCAATTTAAAATATTAAATAATATATCAATAAAAATGTATCAAATATATCAAGTAAAAATGTATCAAATGTGTCAAATAAAAATATATCAAAAGAAAATATACCAAAAATATAGCAAGTAAAAAAAGTATGTGGATAAAATATCAGTAATTATAAAATAGTATAAAAGAAATATGTCAATATCAATAATTTCAAATATTAGATAATCAACTTGTATTATTTTTTTTGTATCTTGATTAATTGACTTGCAGTATAGTTAATTTCGTAAATTATTAAAACAAAATTATTAACGAGATGATTCAAAATCCACTTACATAAAGAAGAACATCGGGACGCCTTGTTCTCTCTGCTCAGCTACCAGGGGCTTCACTGGGTGTTCCTTCCATAGATTACAGGAGTGAGGTTGTTCGGAGATGTCTTCTTCTTTAAGGGTCGTCTTGTTCTCTCTGCTCGGCTACCAGGGGCTTCACTAGGTGTTCCTTCCGTAGATCACAGGAGTGAGGACTTCCGTAGATTCTTTGTTCCGTTAAGGGATGAGAATCCGCCGCTGCCAGTGAGTATACACGTGTTCTAGCAACGTTTTTCGGATCCTACTGACTGCGCCAATTGTTAGATCACTGATCACGAGTTTAACTTTTTAAAAAGAACTTTATTTGTTACAAATTAAATATGAAATAATAGTACAAAATTAAATTAATTTAAAATGACTACAATAACTGGACTGGTCGAAGTTGCAGCTAAGAGTGGTCCCGGCATCTGAGAATGGCAATTTATAGGTTTGGTATGAAGTGCTGAATCGCTGTTCCCATGAATATTGGCCAACGGTTCGTACAAAGTTCTACTGCGTGGTCAGCTGTTTCTATGGGAATGAAATGATGAAATCTGAAGTCGGCGAACTTAAGCTAGTTCAAGGTTAATATTTTCTCATATAACATATATATATATATATATATATATATATATATATATATATATATATATATATATATATATATATTATATATATATATATATATATATATATATATATTATATACTTTTAGGGTGTATAATACCCAAAGCTGTGATAAGTTTGTAATGTTCCACTAAATTACCACGGTTCTAGATCGGCTATAAAGTAAGTTATCTGAAAAAATGTAACTGTGGGATCAAGTCTCTCTCTTCTCCCCGAGTAATCTACTACTTTCTTTGTTTCTATACTCACTTGGTAAGGCGAAATGCATGAGTCGTTTGCTCCGAGGCGACGACTGTCACGGTATTCTTGAGCTAACCATAGGGATTGAGGTTTCGTTGCGTTGTGCCGTTCGTCCGGTTCGTGGTTCTGATAAGACTTGTTTTAGAATACCTGGCAGGCGTTTACGTGGTTGGGTTCGAGCGTCAACCACAGCTGTAACTGGCTTGTAGAAGCCAATCTTTCGATGTCGGCTATTCCTATAATAACGAGCAGAATTCGTCAAGCGTTGGATTCTTCACCAATAAACAAGAAAAATGACAGGGGTAATGGTTCGAAGCTATCATCCCTAGGTTTATGCTTGAACCTGCGGGTCCAACCTCTCATTATGTCTCACGAGCCCTTATTTTCGTTGAGATTATCGGTTTACGGAGGGTTGAGATTATCGATCCTTGCGAGTAGGCCAGATCTTTAGACGGAAGAACATGGGTATTAAAACACTTTCAAAGTTTGAACTCGGAATTGTCTGTAGGCGACTAGCCTACTTGACAGGGTATAATATCTGGTAGAGCAGTTTCCACGCTACGATCTGTTAAGACCTCAGCTTGGGGATTCGTTTTGTCGGTTAGACTAGACCCCAGGTAATATGTGAGGTAATTAAATATACCCCCACAACTTTTATTATTTTCTGTTAGGAACGTATTATCCTCTCACTATTTAATGCGGTAAGTTTGCTATAGATGAATAGTGAATAGTTGCAATAGAATAATAGGCGATTTTAAATTCTTGAATAAAGTGCAGTATCTCACAAATCCTCTTAAATCCACGTAGGTACCTCAAACAGACCCAAACACTTATAATTAAAAAAGTCAAAGTGATAGTTGTAGATAGAGATACAAAACAATCAATCTAAATTAAAACAAATTGCAGAATACAAGACTTAACTTAGACTCCATCGTAACAAGTAAGACGTTAAAAAACGAAATCCTTAATTGTATAGCAGTAAAAACAAAGAAAGTACTCGGACTAACTTCAAATGATATGAAAACTACCAACAACAAAAAACTACATTTCTTGACGAAAATAACATTTGCTACACTTAATTATATGCGCCAAAAGACTCTGAAGATCTGCTGTTGTCAGATTTGATTATACCAATTTTTTTGGTAACTTACCACATTTAAATCAATCATCGTTCCAAAATCTGCCAACTTGAAGTATGTGCCGTAAAGCATTATATTAGTAACTTTCACGTCTCCATGGACTAATAATTTCTCATGCAGAAATTTCAAGGCCTTACATATATCATATAAGCAATCCCACATGATTTGTTCTTTTACTTCATTTTTTGTCGAAAACTCCATAAGGCTCATTTGGCAAGCCTCCATCATCATATATACCTCCCCACATTCTTCCCAAGCCATATAATATTTAACGCAGTTTTGGTGGATTCCCACTCTTTCATTGTTTCGGATTTCTCTGTAAATTTCGTTTGATGACAGTGGAGTTTTGAATTGCTTAATAGCAAATGTTTTTTTGTTGACATTATGCTTAGCTTTCCACACCACTCCGAAGCTCCCCTCTCCTACTTTGAAAGGAGCTTTGTATATTTGCTGAAGGTAAGTTTTTTCGAGGGATGGATCAAACTTAAGATCCAGGCTAACTAAAAAAAAAAAAAAAACATATTTAGTTAATTAAGTGTTAGGTTAGACCATAGGATCTGCTAATACAATAAAGACCTCTGCAAGTGGTATATATAAATATATATAAGAAATACTGGATATTAGTGACTGTCGATATAAACAAACAACACAGTTTATTAGGGCTGCAGTCAGAAGTTTGGCCGGGATGTTAAATAAACACTCTTTAGACTTTTCGTCTAGCTTTCGGAATTGTTTAATTCCTTTTTCAACACACTGTAATAAGAAGAATGTGTAAATATTTACAAAATATCACAATTAGTCAGTGTAACTTACTAGTCGTTGAGATTATTTATAAAAAGCTTTGACACTCAACATTAATAATATACATATAAAATATAAAATAATGGACAAAATACATTTTAAAATTTTTAAAATTTAGTTAAGGATAGTAAAACTTAGTTTACTTTTTTTTTCAGTTTATGTACAAAATAAATGCAGTATTAAAAACTGGGTTTCTCAAAATTCATCATAATATATCTTTTCAACTCAGTCTAGTAGTTGTGGCCTTTGTACGAGGAAGTTGTTTTGTCGTTCGAAGCTCATTAACGTTATCTCTACATAAAGTGAAAAGTTTTTTGTGAAACAATTTTGTGACAATTTGTGAAAAATATAAAAGTCTAGTGTATTTGAATTTATTTCACCCCCATTGGGGGTTACCGTTTGGATACGATAAGTGTTAATAAGTGTAAGATAGTTTCAAAGTGTTAAAGTGTTAAATTAATAAAAACTTGATATGGATTATGCAGGGAGACCACCAGACAAACCCCCAGATATTAGCCGGATGGAGGAAGATGTTAATATAGAAAAAATAAAATCCAATGTAAACAACACCTGGGACGGTAACTCAAAAAACAGCGGAGAAACTGTAAGTAGTATAACTTCTAATAATTCTACAGAAAATTTAAGAGAACAATTTCTATATCAGAGCAGCGATACAGGTCCTTTTCATGTATATATAGAAAATAATACTCCTGATTGTAAAGCCAAGATAAATGCTATCAAAATCGGTGATATTATATTACCAAATTTTCCAAATTTAGATAACAAAATTACTAGTATTGATTCAATCGGCAAGAATAGAATCAGAATTAAATTTAAAGACTATCAATCGGCCAATTTTTTAATCAATCAAAAAACTTGCTCATTATTTACAAAGATCCACATGGTTCTGACCATCTACCCTTGACGATCTCCTTAGAAAATTCCAAACGAGCAACACCACCTAGTAACAATACACAAAAAAGATGGAATCTAAATAAAGCAAATTGGAATTTGTATTCATCCAACTTTTATTCAGAAATACTTCCTCAAACTTATGAAGAATTAGTTAATGAAATAAACAGATGCGCATCTATTGCTATTCCAAAAATAACAAAAAATAAAATATATCCTACAGAAAAGATTCCAAAACCATGGTGGATAATAATTGCGAAACAGCTGCAAATAACCGTAAAACAGCCTATATACGTTACAAAACAAATCCCAATATCCATAATTTAATTGAATATAAAAAATTGGATGCATTAGCAAAGAAAATTTTTAAAAATAGAAAAAAACAAAGTTGGATAAACTACTGCGAAAGCCTTAACTCCCATAGTCCAATCAGCGTCTGGAAGAAAGTCCATCGCTACAAAAACCGAAGACAGTCCAATAAACTCCCGATAAACTGCGAAGCTGCATGGATAGAAGATTTCCACTTGAAAATTTCACCTCCTTGGGTACCAAACCAAATAAACGAAGCTACATTCACCGTTTCCAGAGAATACTCCAATCTAGAAAAACCATTTGAAATGTGGGAATTAAATTATGGACTCAAACAAAATAATAGTTCGTCTCCAGGGATGGACTGTATATCATACTCTATGTTATACTTTTTACCCACAGAATACAAATCACTATTATTAAAAATTTTTAACAATATATGGCAAAATGAGAATTTAATTCCCAGAACATGGAAGGACTATATTGTATTGCCCATAAAGAAGCCAGGAAAGCCAGATAACAACGTTGAGTCTTACAGACCTATATCTTTATGGTCTTGTATACTAAAAACTTTAGAGAGATTAATCAAAAATCGGCTTAAATACTGGCTTGAATCCGAAAATATCATACCCAAATCTCAATATGGCTTCCGGAAATCCAGGTCTACACAGGATGCTCTCACTTCACTAGTTTCCTCTGTTCAGGTCAATTTCACAAATCAAGAATCAACAGCTGCAGCATTTATAGATGTAACCTCTGCTTTTGATAACATAAATTTATATATTCTTCATAAAAAAATTGTTATATCTTGGTATGCCAGTTAATATTTCAGATTTCATTATATCCTTATACAAGAATAGATGGACTTACTTAAAAATAAATGAGACTCTTTTAGCGCCAAGGCTAACGAATATAGGTATACCACAGGGTAGTATTTTAAGTCCACTTTTTTTCATTGTATAATATAGATCTAGATCAGATAGTACCTCCACACTCTAATATATTGCAGTTTGCAGATGATGTTGTATACCTCACATACTACCCTTGAGATTTGTAGGCCAACTCGAATCTACACTAGATTGTATAAAAAATTATTACCATTCTCTAGGCTTATCAATATCAACTACAAAGACTGAAATTTGTTTTTTTTTACAAAAAACGCCAAACTCCTCAAGGTAACTTTAAACTAGGAAAAATAGAATTTCCAATCAAAAATTGTGTAAAATATCTAGGCACATATTTGGATCGTAAACTGTTATGGAAGGATCAAATTCATTCTATTATAAAAAAATCGGAAAACTCCATGAATATTCTTAGAGCATTTTGTAAAACCAGTTGGGGAGCTGACCCGAATATTGCATTGCTATTTTATCGCTCAATGATTCGACCAATTTTCGACTATAGTTGTCATTTATATGGGTCTGCGTCAACAGGACACCTTAATAAAATTGAAACCCAAAAGAATAAATGTTTGAGGCTATGTGTCGGTTACTTAAAATCTACTCCTATTAGTATTATTGAAATTGAAGCTAAAGAGCCTCCCCTTACACTACGCAGAGAGTTCTTTACAGATAAGTTTGTAGCTAGAGCTATATCAAAAAACTTCAGCTATTTAAAAAATATTCGTAACTTGAATATATCAGACTTAAGCCATAAATATTGGCGTAACAAAAAAACTCCCATATACGTTGAAAGTTATAGGAAATTAACAATAATTGAAGAACAAATGTATCAAAGTAAAATACCACCAATTTATACACAACCTCCTAAGACTCTCTTCTCTAAGATAATAGAAACATATTATATGGATTCAAATCTTCCAGGAAGTATGATCAACAAAATAATTAAAGATAAGTGGCCTGCATCTCAATATATTTTTACTGACGGCTCTAAAATTCAAAATAAAGTGGGTTGTGCAATATATCACTGGAATGCTGATTACAAAGAATCATGTCGATTGCCCAATGAAGCTTCAATATATACTGCCGAACTATCAGCTTTATTTCTTGCGTTAAAATATATAGCCTCTATTGGAATGAATAATTATATCATTCTGACTGATTGTAGAAGCATTATGGACAAAACTCACGTCTATGAAAACCACAAAATATTTAAACCATATTAGATAGAAATCAAGAAGTTACATTATGATATTATTTCCGCAGGTAGTTCGATTATTATTTGTTGGGTAAAAGGACACTCTGAAATATTAGGAAATGAAGAAGTCGACAAATTAGCTAAATCTGCAGCTTTAACCAAACATAATATAAACAACATACTTCTTCCAGTAGCAGACATAGATAATATCAGTAGAAACAACTGCAAACAAAGATGGCAACGTTTATACAACCAAAGTACAACTGGAATCAACTTTAGAGCTTGCCAACCACTAATACCCAATGAAAGATGGTTCAAATATGAGACAAACAGGTTATTTATAAAAACAATAAACAGAATAAGATCAAACCACGCACTCACTCCTGCATACAAACACAGCATAGGTCTCACTGATAACCCATATTGCTCCTGTGGTAAAGTGGGAGATTTGCAGCACCTTATATTGGGGTGTGGACAGTACAAACAAAGTATCAAAAATGATGTATGAAAAACTAATTGAGCTAAATTGTCCATTGCCTGTCAATTTGAATACAATTATTTTTTCAAATAATAAACAGATATTAAAATGTATCTACGAATACATAACGTCCTGTAAATTTAAATTATAAGTAGTTTTAGGTATTCAAATTAAAAATTGTAAATATGTCAAAAATTGAATGTATATACTAACATATTACTTCCTGTAAATTTAGATTATAATTAGGCTTAGGTAATAAAATAAAAAATTGTAAATACCACAAATAGTCTGGCTAATTGGCTATGCCAAAGCCATTATTACAATAAAAAAAAAACTTAGTTTATGACATCTTTTTAATGAAGTATTTTAACTTTGATACAAATAGAACAGAAAGAAAAAAACAAAAACAGTATGTAAAAATGTAATTAAGTATTCTTGATGTTATTATACATTACTATAGTATATAACTATATATACTATAGTTTATTTTAGTAGGACATTACCACATTACAGGCGCATACTTAGAGACAATTTTTATCCGACAATTTTCCTAATAGATGGATTTGTAGAGACAGTTCCTGATATATGGCTTTTCACGATCGTGTGATTTTGATCCTATCGATTATTATGTTTGGAGATTTTTAAAATCAAAGTTTATAACGAGAAGAAAGAAAGAAGACAGAAGCCTTTCAAGAAAAGAAAAATAACCCAGAAGAAATTAGGAGGTCAATCAAACATATTCCAAAAAGAGTAAGACTTTGCCTTGAACAAGGCGGTGGTCATTTTGAACAATTACTTTAATTTTAATATTAGGTTATTTTTCTGCAAATTTTTGCTGTTTTTTTTCTTTTAAATATTTCGTTAATTAAAGTTATGTATTTTTTGAGGACTTATTTATTATTT